CACTCTGGGGACCTAGGTCTATGCAGTTTTGGAACTTTGGAGGCCCCGAAAGTTGCAAAACTGCAGACCCCATGCCCTGACCATAGCCACTCTGGGGACCTAGGTCTGTGCAGTTTTTTAACTTTGGAACTTCGCTACTTTGGTAGTCGAGGTAATTTAAGAGCAGGTGTTTTCTATTTTTTTTGGGGGGCTAGCATATATATATATATATATTTGAAATACAAATGCTTCTTTGCACAGCGCAAGGTGTCTGAGCACTGCGCAAGTTGGCATGAGCCAGCGACTGACCTGTAATCCATGAAAAGCTGGCACTGGGACAGGTTAACAGTGGGAGATGTCAAACAAACACTCAAGAATCATGCAAGATAACATATGCCAACTGTCATCACCTCCATCTTGCGCTGCTCCGTCTCTGTGCGAAGCGGACAATATATATATATTTATATATCTAATTATATATATACTCATCAATTTGCAAAAGTCGAAGCAGCACATTCTTTCCAACCCACAAACGCACATGATACTTTGAGCAAATGAGCAAATGCTGGTGAAACATGTTCTTCATGAACATCACGTGCTTCGTTGCTTCGTTGCTTCGTGCTTCAGCCATATTTCAGTCTAAACTTTCGATCCTTGCCACCATCTCGCTTTCTACGATGCTTCCATCTCCGGAACTGTCTCCGTGTATTGAGGGCTTCCATTGCTGTATTCTCCTTTCCTGGCATTTCCATCTGGACCTCCTTGCCTTGATCAATATTTGTGTCATGCAAAGATGGCCAAGAGCGCTGTTGAACCCACGGAAGCTCTCTCTGCAGAAAAACATGTGTACTCGTGATCATCTGCATACTCCGGATCTGAATGGGATAGCAGGAAGACCAAGGCAAGCGCACTGCCTGTCGCCCAAGCAAGCGCCACATGGCCCACTCGCCAAGCAGTGGAATGGTCGGCAAATTGGCAATGTTCTTTGTGCCCAAATTGCAGCGCAGTCAAGTTTAGGATACATACAATTCAATAGAACAATATTGACAAGCAACATGAATGACAGCTGCATTGCATTGGTCTATATATATATAATTTAGTTATATATATTGGGACAGTGAGACAAACTTGCTCGACACATCTCAAAGCAAGGTGTAAAAGTTGCTAGAAAAGGCTCCATGGTCATCCTCAAATCAAAGTGTCTATAGTCTATGGATAACTATGTAACGAATGGTAACAGCTAGCTACGGTGAAGGCTTGCGAAGCAGCTAGCTGCACCCATCCCGGCCTATCAGGATGCAACCCAATGTCATGGCACCAGCCAGATCTGCCGACAGGTTCTCTTTTGGATATCGTGGAAGCCAGAAAAGGATTGGCATTTGCTCTTGCAGCACCGTCCACCATGTCCTGCCTCACGACGGTGAAATGATGGGACTTCTACCAAAAGCTGTGCAGCACGTGGCATCCCTTGTCTCCACACAAACTAGACTCATAGAGTCATAGACTCTGATGAAGTGTAGCCTCGATCAAACCTGGGAAAGGAAGAATGAAAACCAGTAGAAATCTGTGTGCAGGTCCTAGTTGTACGGCAAGAGGCAAGGAGCAGTTGACAAAGTGCAACTGAATTGTTAAAGGGCAGTGTATGAACACACTGCGGACAAAGTCTACCAGGACATTGCCTGAAGTGACCTATCAAGGCGTTTGCCCCCCCACCCTAGATAACTTACTTTGTTCGCAGAAACGAACTCAGCCTAGCCTACTGGCTGGCTTTCGTTAACTTCAAGTTAGCTCAAATGAAGGACTTCGATGAACAGCGAAGCAACAATTTCAGTATGTGCTACTCTCACTGAAACATCGAAACTTTTGTTGGCTTGAGACTTTGTCCATGAAACGGCTTTGCTTTGCCCGTTTAAAAAAGGGACCAACAAATCCGATTCCCATTGATGCATTGCAAGCAAGAACCCCGATGTAGGGAGGATATTCAAACATCTGGAAGCAATGAACAACCACCCTGCTCTGCTTCCAAGCTACTCTGCTTTCTTCCGCTCGTCTTTCGCACCAAGGGCTCTGAGCCCGACATTGCACAAAGGCGGCAACTGGGTGGGGTGAGAGACTTCTTCCAACTCTCGGTACAAGTCTCCACCTTTAAATTCATCTCAATAGTTCTTTCTTTCTATTGATCAGGAGGCTAGAAATGCTTTGACAACTGTTGATGTTGTTCCTAGTTCCTAGTATATTTACGCCCCAGCCTGGCGGAACATGGAACATGCAATGAAATGCAATGGTCGTGCAATATGCCGTTCCTAGTATTGCAGTCAGTCTTTGTCAATTTCATTGCTTCTGTGCAAACTAATTCCTCGTTGCAGTGCTGAATGTACAAGAGAAAGTGCGCATGAGGCTGTGGAACTTCAGTGTGAGTGTTGCTCGCCTGCCCGCAGGCTAAACAACTCTCATAAGAATACTGAGCCGAGACAAAGGCTAAAAAAACAACATTGCAAATCACTTGCTGTGCCCTGACTTTGCCAGCGCTTGCCTGGTTCACTTCTGCCACTCTTCTTCTGTTTCCATTGATCTTCCCTTTGGAAAAGTGACATCCCAAGGCTGCACCTCGCCAAACAACCATGCACCCTCAACGGCATCAGCCAAGGAAAAGGCATCCCCAGCCAAAGAAAGCCGCGCTGCTACCTCACAAGTCTCACAAGAGGTTTCTTAGCCTGTTTTGGCCCACGTGGCCCACATGAGATTGTTGAACTGTTCAACATTGTGTTCTCTGCAGTATCTATTGCAAGCGTTTGACATGTATTCTGATGAGAACTACTCTATATTGGAGGTTCTTCCAAATTTGCTTCCTCCTCGATGCAGTGACTTGTCTTCTTCTAGGCCTGGTGATTCCTTGGAAAGCTGGGTGGAGGCGACCTCAACAGGTACTTAGTTGCAGGAGCCGCGATTCCAATCTTGAGTTTGGTGGGTGGCAACAGGCAGCTGCTAACTGTTGGCTGGAATCATGTGATGTTTGTTTGTTTCATAATATCTTTGGAGGCACTCGTCGTCAGGGTACCTATTCTCGCAACATGAAGCTGACTCTGATTCCTCATGACAGCCTGGGATGCTGGCGATGCTGTCCAACAATCTCCAGAGGTAGGACATCTCCAAACCTGCGTGGATACTTGCAACACCCCGCTGTCATCGGATTTCGGTCAAGGTGCCGTAAAAATACCCATTCTACTCTAGCCTCTAACCTAGGATCTAGCCCCCTTGGAAAGCTTTCTAACTTCTGCACCTGGACACCCCAAACAACACTTGTAGCTTCTTGTTGTTAGTATGCCCTTTGTTACTAGTAGCTTCTTGTTGCTAGTAGTGCCAGGAGCTACTAGTAGGTTGCTGTTCCTAGTAGCGATGCCCTGTGTTACTAGTAGCTTCTTGTAACCAGCACTAATGCCAGGAGCTACTAGAAGGTTTTTGCACCTAGTAGCGATGCCCTCTGTTACCAGTAGCTTCTTGTTACTAGTAGTAATGCTAGGAGCTACTAATAGCTTCTTGTTCCTAGTAGCGATGCCCTTTGTTACTAGTAGCATCTTGTTACTAGTAGTAATGTCAAGAGCTACTAGTAGCTTCTTCTCCTAGTAGCGATGTCCTGTGTTACTAGTAACTTCTTTTTACTACTACTTCCAGGAGCTACTAGTAGCTTCTTGTTCCTAGTAGCGATGCCATTTGTTACTAGTAGCTTCTTGTTACTAGTATTGCCAGGAGCTACTAGAAGTCCCTAGCAGCGATGCTCTTTGTTACTAGTAGCTTCTTGATACTAAGTAATGCCAGGAGCTACTAGTAGCTTTCGCTCCTTGTAGCGATGCCCTTTGTTACTAGTAGATTCTTGTTACTCGCAATAATGCCAGCAGCTACTAGTAGCTTCTTGTTCCTAGTAGCAATGCAATTTGTCACTAGTAGTAGTGCCAGGAGCTACTAGGAGCTTCTTTCTTGTTCCTAGTAGCCGTCCCCTTTGTTACTAGTAGCTTCGTGTAGCTAGTAGTCATGCCAGGAGCTACTAGTAGCTTCTTGCTCCCTCTAGCGATGCCCCGTGTTACCAGTAGCTTATTGTTACTAGTAGTACGCCAGGAGCTACTAGTAGCTTCTTGTTCCTAGTCGCAATGCCCTTTGATACTAGTAGCTTCATCTTGTTACTAGGATTGCCACGAGCTACTAGTAGCTTCTTGTTCCCAGCAACGATGTTTGTTACTAGTAGCTTCATCTTATTGCCAGGAGCTACTAGTAGCTTCTTATTACTAGAAGTAGTGCCAGGAGCTACTAGTAGCTTCTTGTTCCTAGTAGACATGCCCTTTGTTACTAGTAGCTTCATCTTGTTACTAGTATTGCCAGGAGCTACTAGTAGCTTCTTGCTCCTAGTAGCGATGCCCTTTGTTACCAGTAGCTTCTTGTTACTAGTAGTAATGCCAGGAGCTACTAGTAGCTTCTTGCTCCTTGTAGCGATGCCCTTTGTTACTAGTGGCTGCCAAGACACGCCCCCATCTTTGCAGTCGTTTTCCAGGTTTGTTTTTTCAAGCCTCCTCACCAGCATTCAAGTACCGCTTGTCCAGTTTTCCAAAGACCTGGAGCAGCGGCAAAACGAACCTTTGATTCAAGGACCACGAGGCCACGATGATGGAATATGAAGAATGCATGAATATGCGCTAAAGCGCATGCGCTCCAAGTTAAAGAGCGAGCAGCATACAGGTGTGCGGACCTAACAGCAAATTAGATTCGTCAACACTTTTTTGTGGGCCTGCTTGGATGAGTTGAGTTGGCCGCTCAAGCCATTTTTAGTATAAAACTGCTACTTGCTGCGCGGTAACCTGCCTGATAGAGGCGGCTATATAAGCTAAACTTCTGGGTTTTCAATCAAGCACATGATATGCAGGGTTCAGGTGGTCCGATTTGCCAAGGTCGCTCCGCGAGCGACCACAAGAAATCAGCTGTTTGAAAGACGTTGCGTGTGTTGTTTTCGCATGGTCCAAGCCCATGCGCCTTGTGAGCAAGGATCTCTTTGGATGCCCAGCCTCCACGAAGGGTAACATGGTAGGCGTCAACTGGGGTTGCAGTGAAATAATTAGGCACCCTAGCGAGAGTGCTCCTTCACTGGCTTCAGACTTTCAAGAGAGCAGGGACATAGGGCCATAGGGTTGTGTGAGAGCCTCAACTTCTGTATCCCCAATCTCAAGGCTCTGGGGCAATGCTGGACAAAGTGTAACTTTAGGAAGCTGCAGTCATTGTGATGGTAGTCATCCTCGGAATTAGCGGCTCTGAACACACATTGCCAAAAATACATGTGGACATTGATACAGTATACTATCTGGGCATTGTGCATCAGTCACATAGAATCTTCAACTGTTGTTTGGATGGTTTTGCAAAGCGGCGTTAATAGATGTTAATATATATATATAATATGCGTGTCTTATCTCTTCTCGGCCCCAAGTTCTATCACTGTTCTGGTCTATTCTCAGTTCCTCCTTTCACCCTGAGAAGGCCAAACCCAGCGAAGCCCTCAGACATATACCGTGGGCAATGGACGAGAAATTCCTTGTTGTGAATGTATTACTATGACTTATGTGATCTTATGTGTGTATGCATATACTGTACTGTACTACACAAACACATGTGTCGAATGCCTGCTGAGGCTGATTGTCTTGGCAGGCTTGCATGCTCAACATTCCTTCAACCCACAGCGATCATCCTACATCGTTCTCACAACAGCTTGCCTCCTGCGCCAGACAAACGTAGGTTCGGGGCTAACGAGGCCAAACCTAAAGTGTCACAACGTCAAATTAGCGGATGCACTGTGGCCAATTCATGGATCATGAAATCTGTGACCAAAGCTTTACAAGAACTGCCTTGATCTCAAGGTCCTTTCATGATTAGTAAGGGTTAACGAACAAGTGTCTGGTTGCTTATGCTTGGACCATCCATGGGATCATAGCATTCGATTGATGCCAACAACAATGTCACAACTCCGTGTAATTGTACACAAGTATATTGTCACACGCAACTGTCGAAACTGGTGCCATTCTCTATTGGTCAATGGGCAACAATCTAGAACAACTTCACACACTAGCAACTGGCCATCAGCGTGCTGTACACTCCAAGCGTCTGGCGCGCTGACATCACTGCTGAGTGACCGTCTTCATTTTTGTTCGTCACCACTGCACCTATCACAAGTCAAAGGGACTGGCGGGCTTTGCTGAACCAAAGACCCGAAGAGTAACAGCGACAAATATTATATAAGCATTTCTTTGTTTTGTGCGCTCGTGGACTTCCAACAAGCTGGTGGGTGAGATAAATGATAACAGTTTGTTCAACTCCATTACTGCCAGATCAATGTGACATCTGTTACTCCTAACTCCTAACTTGTTTTTCCTTTCCACACCATCCCCATCGAAGACCAAACTAAAAAGAGGCACGGTGTTGGCATGGCAAAGCTTGATCTTCCCAAATGGTTTTTCATTGCCGGATTTATAATATAATATCAATCGTCCATTTTGTATGCACAAAGCGGAACAATCTTGGAAAGCCAAGGGCGGAAGTTTAAAAGAAGAAAGCTTTTAGAAAAGGTTCACTCGTTCCTTTTTGGCGGATGTCTCTGGCCTCTGCGATGAATGCATGTGTGGTCAACCAAGCAATCACGTGACACCAACCCCCGTTGACACCACCATCATCCCGCTCACCAGCGACGCGCCGCATTCACACATACGTGTTTCCCTTCCGCCAATGGCACAGAGCCACGAAAACGCACTTTCCACCAAGGCCGCGCCAATCCGCATGGCACGTATTTTTGCCGCACCGTGTTCCTCTCACTAGCTGCATGCAACCGTGTGACACCACCTACTATCTACGCTAAGTCGTGAACTTAGCTGCCTTTCACTTAGCTGCTGTCTAATTATTGCCTGAGCTATTTGTATACAGTGACTGTTCAAGACTGTTCACGGAAGTTTCTCGACTAAACTTCCTTTGACAAATTCAGTTGGTGTTCGCACACACACTTGTTGGTATAGCACGCCCAGCTTTGCCAAGGGGTGACTGCACCTCTGGGCATCATACTGGACCCTATCAGGGGCATGGGACCTACTCCTTGCTACATGGTGCAACCTTCACTTGAACAATCGCGTAAAAGCAGATGACTGATGGCAAAATTGTTCCTTTCTCGCTCAAACGAGTGGCTATCTCGAACATCACACCCACCTCTCTGAAGCAAAGCATCCACTATCGCTTCGTCAGCTCTGGCTGCCGCCACCTGGGAGGGCACAATGTGAGCTCGACTAGTAACAAGGGCATCGCTACTAGTAGCAAGGGCATTACTACTAGTAACAAGAAGCTACCAGGAACAAGTGCATCGCTACTAGTAGCTTCTTGTTACTAGTAATTCCCTTGTTACTACATGTTGCTACTAGCTGCGTGTGTTTCTCTCAGGCCCTCGCATGTAAGGGAGTGTTCCCCTTTGAGTCTGTTTTCATCACATCCGCTCCCCTGTTGAGGAGGTCCTGGAGCAGCAATTATGAAACACAAGTAGGTAGGTCGTATAGATCCCTGGCATCTCCAAGTGAATTATATACTTAGTCCCCTTGGCACTTGACGAGGCCCAGCTCAGAGTGAGCTTGATACGAGCTGCTCAAAGTGCAAGCTTCTTTGGTCTGACAGAATATCAATGTTTGCTGCTGGAGAAACACCCACATCTCAAAGTCTAAGAGCTTTTCCACTCTTGCCATGACTCATTTCACTGTTGCTCCTCCACAGTTGCCACATCACCTGAAGAGAAGGGCTGGAAGTCTGACATGGCATCTGGTTGGCCAAATTGGACTCACCACTTATGTCCCGAAGCCGCACCTGAACGGATGACCGCCATAAGCAAGGTCTCAGCATCTGGACCTCATACGGATACCATAAGGTATACCAGATCGCACCAAATCCACAATCCTGGAGCAGTTGGTCTCTGAGAATCAAATACAACTTTCACTTCTCCACCTGAGGGCAGCACTGGGATCCTGCGTATTCACATCCATCCCATGGTCCAGAAACACGTTCACCTTCATTCGGGACTTTGGTTGGCAGAAAAACATGAGCATCTTTCTCCTCGTCCGAAATTCCCTACATCTGGGTGCGGTCATTAGGACAAGGCATCGGGCTTAGGTTTTCCTCATCGGTTTCCAATTGTTGTGAATTTCACTAACATACTTTATGTTTCCGAGCAAAAGTATAGTCATCGACATTCATGGGGAAGCAACGCACAGCAAACAACAGTCCATATTATGGACTCCGTTAGAAATTTTGTGCAGCCAAAGGCCAAGCGCAGCAAGGCAATGTCAGCTTCACAATTACAAGTGGTCCCCCAAACCACGTGTGGATTGTGGCTCTTCTGCCAAAAGGCGATTCCAAGTGCCTTCCCACCAGCAGGAGCAAATATTCGTGAATACAATAAATCCAGAGATGAGGACCCAATGAAGCCACTCCGACTCAGCATTACTCAACCCAACACAAATGGCATCATTACCGAAAACAGCCACTTGAGCCCACTTCTGTTCTAATGTACAGGATTGTCCAAACAATGGAACCCATTTGTTGTCTTCGCCTTCGCAAGAGGAAGTGTCTGACAGAAAAAGTAGACATATATTGTATCAATCATACATTAGAAAAAACTTGCATGCATGGATCCGCAGTCACATGTTTCTGAACCAACAAATATGTCAATGCTGCAACAGTGCCATCTTGGTTGGTCCCAGTCACAACAGCGCGGTCTTCGCCCACTCGCAGCCGTGCTAGCAAGGCCACCAGAACCTCCTCACAGATTGGAGCCCCTGCAGCCAGGAGTGCCTCGTCATGATATGTCAGGACTCCATGTGTGCGCCTCCAACCTGCTAGCAATGGCCTCCATCCTAATAGCAATGGCCTCAGAGGGCAACCTGAAGAGAAGGTGGCCAATGTGAGAGGTGAATTGATGAAGACCAAAGGGTGCATCGGTACAGTAACACAACCCGGTTTGAGGTGGACTCTGCGTGAAAAATACAAATGAATCTTCGCGTAGTCTTGTGCACAAAACAGGCAGGGAGAACAACGCCTTGCAACGGGAACATGCTGTAAAACAAATTTCTCTGTTTGTCACGCAGGGCCCTTGGATGTATTTCTGTCAAACCTTCTGAAGTGAACATTGTTATGAATGGCCCCGAATGGCATAGTGATAGTGCCTGCATGTGCCTGCTGGCTGTCAAACCGACACAATCCCTGCCCCATTGTCGACTTAGGTGTTGACTGTTGTGGACGTCTTGTTCCAAGCCTCCAAACCGGCAGCCTTCACATGACGGCGAACAGCCTCTGGGAGAGGGGCATCCGTGCCGTTGAGGGCCTCGGAACTGATCCAAGCAAGCACTTGTCTTTCTGGTCTTTGTTGGGAGTTCTGGAAAACTACACCTTCTGTAATCCAATTGTCCCTATTTCATTGTGAGCCACAAAATACTGTATTCGGCACTCCACAAAACTACTGATTGAAGGACATATTCGAACCAACCGGTGCAACATGTTCTCCCTTGAGAAAACAGCACCACGTTGGCCAAAGGAGACTGTTCAATACATTAATATGTTTTCACTCAAATGGGCCCTTTGCTTATGCTGGTTCTTAATTAAATAACATGCCGTCAATGACATAATATAATACCAATTAAGCATTTCTGATATTATATTCATTCTGTATATACAATCTGTGATGTGCTCACAATATGAGTGGTGCCCAGAACTCTATTGGACATTATTCTTCCTTCTGCAAACAAATGCAAACCTTGCACACAATCATGGGACAACTTCCACTGTAGACTAAACTACACTGATCTCAGCTCCTCACATGTATCCAAATGCATATGTTGTTGCAATATATGCATATACTGCTATTATATATGTATAATATATGTTATAAATATGTATATGTTTGACTATATATTGTATATATGCAATCCCGAACATTACACACCGACCTTGTTAGCTTGACGATTTGCACCAAGCGACAAGACCCTTCTGAAGCTCTTTGGCCACCAAGGCCTTTGCAGCCTCTCCATCGAGGCCCTCCAGGCGTTGGGCCAGAGTGCCCCGCCCGGCAGAGCAGCCCATTGCAAAGCATAAGGAAAAAAAGACGTCGGAATAGATCAGGTGAACAAGCAGTGTAAACATGTCTGATGGATTCATTCGCCCAATGGCTTCGGCTCCAGACTTCAGAGACCGGGAAGAGACTGGTGCTGTCCCTAAAGGGGTAACCATTCAGTACGTGCTGGTTCCGGATGCCTTCTAATGGTGGTTCTGAACATTCCGTGCTGTTTGCTCTTGCGATCCTGCGGAATCTTTCTGAACCTCAGGAAATCTGTAGCTCCGCACCCTGCAGTGAACCATGGCGTTTGAATCGAAAATCGAACGGTTAAATCATGAAAACACGACAATCACCTTCCAAATTCTTCAGATGGATATAAATCTTGGGAAGTTCATACAATCAAAGAATGCGATAGAAGAAAGTACGTGATGGATTTCTTGAGCATATGTTTAGGAACCAACCAAATGACCATGACATACCATGACTATCTACCACTTCTTCTGTATCCAATTTTTGGCTCACTCCTCGACAAGCGGTCCAAGCCACGGCAGCTCCTTGCTTCGTCCTGACCCTCTTGGATAAGAAGCTATAGATATAGTTCAAGATTCCATTTAATAAGCACGGACCAAAAATACTTGCGACCGAAAGCCAAAGAGTCGCACACTACGTACAATTTAAGACTTGATACACTGAACATCACTGGATGTTTCCCTCAGACTCATACATAACTAACAAAGTGCGAGCAGGGCATTCAAAGGGTCCGGATCAGCCAAGGAGCATGACTCGGCCACAGGAAAACAGTCGGAAAGGCCAAAAGAAAAAAAAGTGAAGGTCATCCACAAGCTTCACATGAGATGATCATTCTGTTCTGTTTTGTACAAGCATTGTTCAATGTTGCTAGTCGCTGTTGGACAGCACCCCTGCAAAGCCACATCACTGCTCACAGCCTTTGGGCAGGTCTTGAAGCGCTTGATATCCCGTCATTAAGACTGCAATATGCAAATGGTTGGCTTCCACCATGCAATATCAGAATATCCTGAAATGATATGAACATCCACCCAAACATCCAAAAACTGTGGCCCAAAAATTGAAAGATAACAAGAACTGCAAAAACACCTATGTGCCAAGCTTAATTAGAGATGTGTGTCTTTCGACTTTGCGCCTCATGCGACTGCGAGAAAAACCAGAACTGCCAGTCACCCACAGGTTGCAAAGCTGGATAAGGAAAGCGTTGTGCTCAAAACATCACCACGTCCTTTGCAAGAAGGGTCATTGCGCAGCGATAAGGAGTTGTCTGCCAACACACTTAGAAACTGATACAGTGTTCTTGCATCTTGCGTGCAAAGAGCAGTTCATTCAGCCTATCAAACACCAAATCGATGCTTGAATATGTATCTCAAACCTACATGCAGCTTCCGACACTACACTGCATTTAGCACGTGCATACTTCCACACAGCAAAACCATGCAGCTGCAAAAGCATACATGACGTAATGTTGTAGATGAGTATTTAGCAGGTCAGCCATAATCATAATATGATTTTTTCCAAACAATCCAGATCAAATTTGATTTGGTATTCGTCCAACAAGATCCATAATTAGGCCAAATACCCGGTCCAAATCCATAACTATACATAATAGTCAGTTGTCAAAACCACACATATACATACGGTAACCGTATACTGTATATTATCATATCTAAAAAAAATATATATATATATCCAAAAACATGTCCAAAATGCAGAATTCAAACAACATTGCTGCAGATTCTGTTCATGCACACACACACACTCTGACATTGGTTTTCAGTTAACTCAATTCCCAACTGGAAATAAGGCGAGAGAACGGCAAGGTGAAGGAGTCGGCGCAACTGTATTGTTTGAACAATCTGTTGACATGTCTGCGGTGGCGAACATCAGCGTGGCTCAGCTGCAGGAAACGCGGCAAAAGAGAGGTTTACGGGAGGTAGCATGTGAACAACCATGAATCAAACCGTGGAGAAGTAGGGTAACAGCTTGTGAAAACAGTTCAGCAGGTACACACCGAGACGTCTCTCAGTGCTTCCCGTGCGTCAGGTAGCTTCGTTGGACATGGTCCCTGAACGCACGCCATGTCCCCCTGCGAATGCAAGTAAACAAAAGGGAAAAGGAGCTCTTAGTTACAGAGGTTGACACACACACGACGCCGAATCCGGCGCTCATGTTGCAAGTGGTGACTTTTTTCTTTGGTTTCCTTAAAAAGCGTTCGCAGTCTCTTGCTGCGTGTCCCTTGAGGACGTAGAGACGCCAGATCGCAAATCGATTGTGTTGGAAAATAGGACTCTATACACGCTTGAGGGTCAAAGCAAGTTGCAAAAAGTACATAGTCATGCAATCACATGTTTCTGTCCGTACAAGCCCGGCGGCTGTTGAGGCAGTCGATCCAGTAGTGAAAAGGAAGCGGTTAAGAGAATCCAAGGTTTGGTGGAAAAAGGAAAGCAGTTACACGATTTCCGGCATGAGAACAGCGCCTCCTTGCGGAGGATCACACCCAGCACCCAAGTGGGACGATTCACACTCTGACATTGGTTTTCAGTTAACTCAATTCCCAAGTGGAAAAAGGGCGAGAGAACGGCAAGGTGAAGGAGTCGGCGCAACTGTATTGTTTGAACAATCTGTTGACATGTCTGCGGTGGCGAACATCAGCGCGGGTCAGCTGCAGGAAACGCGGCAAAAGAGAGGTTTACGGGAGGTAGCATGTGAACAACCATGAATCAAACCGTGGAGAAGTAGGGTAACAGCTTGTGAAAACAGTTCAGCAGGTACACACCGAGACGTCTCTCAGTGCTTCCCGTGCGTCAGGTAGCTTCGTTGGACATGGTCCCTGAACGCACGCCATGTCCCCCTGCGAATGCAAGTAAACAAAAGGGGAAAGGAACTCGTAGTTACAGAGGTTGACACACACACACAAAGCTCTCAGGACAGTAAAAGGGACAAGTCTGCCACACGAAATTCCTTAGCTTACATTAGTTTTCATTGTGCTTTCATTTGTTTATGTTGCTTTTATGCGCTGTCATTTTGCTTTCATGACGCATGAAAGCAAATGAACTCCAGAGGATTATAAGTAAGATTATATATAGTTAAGGGTACCTCCAAAAACCTCAACAAAAAAAGCGGCCCACTAAATACGGATCTTACACTACAAGCATTACCTGGCATGACTTACAATTCGCCATCTTCCATTCAACGCCCTTTGACTGCCGCCCCTCCTCGGATACTCAAGTGGCTTTCAAAAGCCTCCACAACCTTGAGAAGGGATTGGATCGAGTCTGGTCCAACAGAGAGCGCAGTGCTTGGCGTATGCTGGCAACAGGTCAGCAACTTGGTGATCAATTGTATGTTGCCATTTCCGGGCTGCGGACAGCACATGCGTCAGAGCCGGGCTCTACCTGCAGTAACTTGACACGATTTGGACCAGCGCTTGCAGACTGGTCAAGGCTTGATGGTCAAGGTGCCTCCAGAGGAGTGGGAAACGTCACATGGTGAGTGCCAGAAACCTCACTTGATCAGTTGCAATGAACTTTCCATCGTTCTCATGGCAGTTCCCGTTTCTGAGAAATTTGGTGGAAAACCTGAAGAACGTTCTATTGTAAGACTTCGTTCGCCAAGCCACTTCGTCCACAGAGCTTACCATCAAATGAGCATGTCCACACCTCATCAAACGACTGAGGTTACTGAGGAACCACCATGCACGCGTAGGATCCAACATGACCAGCGTAAGCGCTCTGAAAGACTTGGGGTCCAAGCAGGACTGCAGTTGGAGGTCTTGATGTGCTTCGCAAGACATCAAGAACCTATCCCGAATTGTTTGGAGAGCGGTACAGATCGGTACAGTACACTTGAAACTTGGCCAACATCCAAAATGGAAATTAAATCCTGCCACCCATCCAAACCTGGTCATAGTTCCACAGGAGGGTCAATCCATTGCCGTTGGGTGTGGCCTCGAAAGCAGCTCAAGTAACAAAGGGTCTGTCTTCTTCATGTTGACTTGAACAAACATGTACAAACAAAAACGATAACATCTGCAGCGCATAGCAAAAAAAAGAAAACAAACACGACAATACATTCCGGGCTCTCTGGACACGCAAATGCATTGCGCTTCTGCTTTGCATGCGTTTTTCTCAGGTTTTGCACCTGCACTCACGTATCTATCGTTTTTTGCAGACTCAGACTGCTTGGAAATCCCCATGCCACACATGTCCTCATTACTCTCTTGTATCATGTCTGACGGAATGCTATGTACGTTTGCTGCTTCGCACGGTCTACTTCGCTCATTGTGTCACATGTCATATAATTTGTCTTCTTGCTTGGCAGGCTATACTTTGCATCCCCCAATTTCATCTCCCTGTTCTCTTATTGTATCATAATGCACGTCATTTCATGCAGGCTCCTCTGTTGCTGCAGCTGTGTTCTGGATGATGCTGTTACTTTTTCTGCTCTGTTGCAGTCTTTCCTCTTGACGCAAAAGGTAATCCGCATCTTGGGACCATTGGCTGAAAAGGCCGGCGGAACAACCCGCAGGGTGTAAATAGCAGCGAATTAGCCGGTCATGGCTGCGTGCTTCAGCGATCTAAGTATCAGCTGCCTTTCCCCTACCGTAAGAACCCCTAGTGTGTCCACACCGTTTGGGGAATGTGAGGAAGGATAGAGATAGCCACTTAGAGACTTCTATATATATATATATAAATAATCTTCACTTTTCTTCGGATCTGACACCGTAAAGTTGGCTATCGAACATCACGAAGTGTTCGAGGCATCGACTTTGCTCATTGCTTTGAAGATGGTGTCTGGTCTTGTTAACTTGGCAAGGTTGCGAACGAGCGTTCACTGTCCTAGGTGAGTAGTGCTTTTTTTTTGCTCCTCTGTGAGTTTGTATGTGCCCGTCAGAGTCAGCTAGAGGAATTCAGTCATTCCTAGTGCGTGTGCTAGCACGAGATCGGAATTGATATTTGCCCCAACTCCTCGACAATCATGAGGGGAACACTAGTGCTATCCCAGCATCAGCATTGGACACCAGTGGATTTTGATGACGTGACATGCTTTTACTTTATGTTGATGTCAAAGCTCTTTCAAGGGCCTTTTGTACTCTTGATCCTTGTGCCTGAGTCCAAGACTTGAGGCAACAGCACGACATGGCTGAGCAGAATAGTCTGCTCCCCCCTGTTTGATGCGCTGTCGAGTGTCTCCTACAAGAAAAGATGCTCAAGCCGCTCCACTGTGTCAACTGAAGTAGACGAACAAAAGTAAAGTGCTCCGCTTTCTTTGCTAAATCCATCATCTGCGACACTCAAGACTCAAGACGCGACATAGGGTGATTCTTTCTGATTCTTGCCGCTTTATCATCCCGAGCGCAGGCGCTTGCCGCTTTCTAGGGGCTCCTGGCCTTAGGAGCAAGAACGCTACTAGGGGCTCCTGGCCTTACTACTAGGAGCAAGAACGCTACTGGGGGCTCCTGGCCTTACTAATAGAAGCAAGAACGCTAATAGGGACTCCTGGCCTTACTAAACGCTACTAGGGGCTCCTGCCTTACTAAGAGTGCTACTAGGAGCAAGAACGCTACTAGGGGCTCCTGGCCTTACTACTAGGAGCATCCTAGCTACTAGCAACAAGAAACTCTCAAAACAAAAACTCGAAAGAACGCTCACGTCTCCCACAGATGGAAAAAACAACTGTCTCATCCGTTCTAGCTAGCGACTCATCATTGGAGCATCACCTCAGGACAAAAACAAAGTCAGCGTGTGGTTGGTACTGAAGGCAACAGTCCGATGAACGGCTGGCTGCATCAAAGGTATCACTTATCAAACTGGAGCGATATGAAGAAGTTGCAATAGCAACGTCTGCGGCCAAAGCGTCTACAGAACAATCAACAATTGCAGTAGTTGGTTCCTGTTTGCTGTGAAATCAAAAATGAAAGCCAAGTGGCTACATGCAAATAGCCAAGCTTTTGCAGCATTGGTCGGCACAACGATTCATTGAAGCCCTGTGGACCACAAACAAAAATCACCACATCATCTGCCGGAGCTGGCCTCGACAGGCTATGCAAAACCACTTCTGCAAATTCCAGTGTGCTCGGTATCCACACATGATCAAGATCCATCTTCCCACCAACTTCCAAAACCAAATACCTCAGGCTAGCTTTGAAGTGCAATCTCTCAAACATCCTCCAAACGAGGTGCAGCGACTGCTGAACCATCTCCACAGTCAACTTGCCAGACCAGCACTTCTTCACTCCTGTGTCAAAGCTGCTGTGAGTCATCAGGGGTGTGTTGATCAGTCCTGTCACCCCAGTAGCACCAGTTAAAAGCATCGGGAATTATCACAGCAACGATTCAGCGATGATCTATCCATTGTTTAGTCCAACCCAGCGTCTAGTAATGTTAGTCAATGAATCATCAATCCTATTTTACATTGATGAATTACTCAAATTAGTTGCCCTGTTTCCTGTCACTTTCTGGCTTCAGGCCATAACCACCCTAGCCTGCATAGAAATTATCTGTTTTCCTTTTCAACTCTGTATGAAGAAGTTGCAGTGTCCATTCAAGAAGATTGGAATGACGGCACACATTTGCACCCCATGCTGTTCGCCTGCAACTTCTGCCTTGGCACCGTCTCCAGTCACCACATGCGAGACCCGAATGGGTGTCGCATCTGTGGCGCCCTTTGCTGATTGATACCATGATGCTGGCAATGCTTCTGATGCTTTGCGAGTCACATGGAGCACGGCAAACTCGTCCATCCTCAAAGCTGACTGAAATCATACTCTGAGCATTCCGTGAAGCACGCTCTGCTGCCGGGGCGTTTGTCAGACCTGGAAGTCTATATGGCTACTTGCTACTTTAGTCTAGCATAATATACCTGTATTTGGGATCTGGTCGAAACGCCTTCTTCCAAAATGGCTGCAAGTCGTTCGTGTTCACATCGGGGCCCGCTACATATTCTTTACTTTTGGCACACACAGCTGGTTAATGAAGGAAACATGGACCAAACAAGTATTGACACCAATTGTAAGAGGCGTCACTAGCGCTGCACCGTTGCCAGCTGATCTCCGAGTTTCAAGCCATGCTTGAAACAAAAGACTTGTTGGAAGTCAGCTTTGGAAGGGTCCATCCATGCTGGCATCTGGCAATGTTTGCTAGCGCGGATCTAGCGCAGCGCTAGCGCGCGGCTAGCGCATTTTTTTAGCAGCTGCTTTTCAAAACCTGACGACCTTCTGAACATGTCCTAAGTCAAACACTAGCGCAAGTCTACCGCAAACCTAGCACCCAGCTGCAGAATAGGTGTGTTTAGCTGGGGGTTCGACCCCTTTTATCTATGTTTTTGCTTATAGACTTTTGGCCGGACTCCATATATATATATAAATACATATATATATATATTTATTTATTTCAAATTAGAAGACTGAAGGTACCAAACATGATCAAACTGCCTTGATCTGCCTTGATCTGCCTTGCACAATCCTTAGGCAAACATGGCAAACCGAATAGCGCGGTCCAAACAGGCGTGCGGCCTCACTGCTTGCTCCCCCATGATTCTTTGATCTCGATCACGGATATCACGCCGACCCTCCTGGAAAGGCACTCCAACCCCCACGATTGACTGTGGCATACTGAGGTGGCTGTGATTGTGTTTTGAGTCTGCAGAGTTCTGCAGAAACACACAAAAAAAGCACACCTACAATGCCAACGTTTCGATTGGTAGTGACACCTTTCCTACGAGCCTACGAGTGCGGAGTTTTCAAGGGTTAACCGTGCTTTTAAACTGGTGGTCTCTACTCATATCATGGAGCCATTTTGCTAATGAGCCAGGCCTGCCAAATATCCCGCAACGTGCTCAGCACCGGCGTAATGCCAGAGCCGCCAGCAATGGCACCACAAGCTCGTGCCGTGATCACGCTCTTGCCCACCAAAAAGCGACCCTGCCCAAAGTAGAGCCTAGGATCATTCTGCTTGACCGCGCCAACGGCATTGCTCTCTGCAGGACAAAACGGTCTTTGTCAACTCATCCATGTTCATCCATTGAGACTATTTCCACAACCTGATAGCGATGGCCTCCAACCTAATAGCGGTGGCCTCCACCTAGTAGCTTCTTGTCAGCATGTTGCGCATCTTGGCTGAGCCAAAGAACTGGTGTCCGTGAGGGCCAGTCAGGAACATCTTCTGCCCAATGTCCAGCTTCTCGATCAAGAAAGTGCTCGCACGGCCTGGCAGTTAGCAAGGACCACACTGGTCTTTCAAAATCATTTGTCTGCAGCTTGAACACTGTCAAAGCATCCAGTCTTAGTCTTAGGTCGTGTTAGAATCTTGAACATCAATGTTGAAGTTGGCATGCCAAGGCTGCAAGCTGGGACTTGTTTGGTCGCGAACCAAGTCCAGTTCTCATTGGTTTGGAAAACCACAACTAAATGGGACATGATGGAAATTATGTTGCATCTGCACCTCCATCAGGGAAGCCTCGATCAGGTTCCTTCGGGTATTGGCCTCAGACCATCGCGATGAGGCAAGCCCTCATGCCGGTCGACCAGCCCTGGAAACTTGAAAGTAGAATTCCGGTCCAAGCAACGACCAGGGGCCCCTAGTAGCGAACATGGTTACTAGTATGGCCAGGAGCCCCTAGTAGCGTCCTTGCTCCTAGTAGCGATGCCAGGAGCCCCTAGTAGGTTCTAACAGCTGTATCATGGCCAAAGAAAAGAACTGAAGGCTAGGACGGCTAGGCAGAATACCCTTTCTGGGAAATGTCCCATCGTTCAAACCTGCGATATTGGGATTTCTGTGCTGAGGAGCGAATCATGAGATCCATGGTCGGGGATGTCGATGCAGACACTGGAGTGTAGGATCGACTCAGCTCTTCGACGGGTTCCTGCAACAGATTGACGCACTTATGGTGGGCTGAAAAGGACCAGCTAGCATATGCTAATCTGATAAAACATGATCCCACCATATCCCACCAATCTCATCCAATGTCCTTCTAAGTGAATTGCAACAACACATTGAACGCAAAAGGATATGAAAAATCAAATCCGCCGACGGGCCGAGAAGACAAAGCAAGCACACAACATGCAAAACATTGCAAAACCAATATCACGTGGATTAGCACTTGAGTCGTTCACTCTTGTGCGGCCTCTGAAAACGAGCATTCTGTTTTAGTCCGGACAAAATACGGGATGCCATCCATTGCCATCCTCTCCGAGTCCGCTCCTCCAAGTTCACAGACTTGTTCCATGTTTGCGCGTTCTTGGAAATGTTCTCCACATGGACTTTTACCTGACACACCGTGTGGACACACTGACCAGCTGAGTGTTGATCAACAAAGTGAGAGCAACGGCGATGTCTTGCCCCTTGCAAGTTGCGTGTTGTCCAGGATTAATCCCAGCCGTATAGCCAGCCGGGATCTCAAACTTCAGCAAGAAGAACGCATCATTGACCTGCTTCTGGACGCTACTTCCCGGCATAGAAAAGGGCAAACTGATTGCAACCAGGGTGTCTTCAAGGTTGTCTGTCTAGGGTCTCAAAATGATCGTAGCATGGCAGCCTACTCACCACACCATTTTGCCTGTATCCTAACATGTGGAGCCTCCTGTCGTCACAAACTTTGTTACTAACTTTGTTTTTGCCCACCCCTAAAGTAAACCGCAGAGTAGCCGTTGAGCAATCAAGCTTACAGTAACTATATTCCCGAAACAAATGAATCACTTTGGACTTCCAACAAACAAATGTGCATTCATTCGGTTAAAGTAGTGCAATGTTGTGTCATCTCAGTCTCGACCCCCTGCAAATGCTTCATCTCACCTTCTCCTTGGCCACCAGCTTCAAAGGCTTCCGGCGGGCTTCTAAGAAGCGTCGAGCCCGAGTCTCCGTCATGAAGCCCATGCAAATCTTTTGGATGGTGATGCAAACCAACCAGGTGATCAACATGACTGGAAATTGCAAGACCTCAGTGATGAACGGAGCGGCAAGTTGCAAATAGCTCCAAAGAAAATGGAATAAATACAGAGAGATGTCGATATGATTACAATATCGAGCATTGAATGTGGTCCGTTTTCCTGTGTGAAATTCACATGGACATACTTAACAGCATTGTCCCAAGCATATTATGAACAAACAGTTTTGGAGTGTGCATACACAGCGACCTCCGCAAGCAAACATCGAGGTGCACTCTCATCTGGAATATTCCATAATTTAAAACATACAATAGCTCAAATGAATCAATGGATGTATATATATATATAATGGGCGCAATAGAGTGCATGCACGTTTGCTCATCAACGGGTTCTTTTCATAAGAGGCCTAAATAGGTTTCCTCAGAACATGCATCCAAGCGACGTCTATGTCAGGCAAAACCTCAACATAGATCAGGATCTTCGGGACAAAAGGTCCCAACCACAGTGCATACTTTGATAGGCCATTGGAGCGGAAGAAGTAGAGCAGAATCCACAGGAGCTTGGTCAGCACAATAAGGTGCAGTTCGTCTCCGCTTGTGGCACAGTACTACGTAGACTCACGGCTGCTACGACTTATTTGAAGTGTTAAGGAACATCTATACAATCGATGACCCAAAAGGGCATTATTATTGGTGTGAATCAATGCGTTGTTGTGTGTTTTTTCATTGTTTTCGGATTCTATTGACCAGTCACGTGCTGTTTTGACTTGGCTGGTCTTTCCCAAATCTCTAAATGAGAATTATAGGATATACGTAAATTTTGTATCACATATATCAAAAAATCCATTAAACAAAAATGGTTTTCCATCATCACATTGGATGACAACATCACAAACTATCCACACATAATCTCACCACATTCATTTCCCTCACGGTTCATCATGAAATCATCAACAACAAAGCATGGTCCATGGTGTAACCTCATTGATTTGTAGAAATATTATGTATTCCTAGACACGGTTTATTCATGAAATCAATCTGTTTAGACATTGTTTAGTTTGATTCATAAATCCTTAATTATTGGAGGAACTCCTATATATATTGTAAATTTGTGTATGCATCGGAGCATGCATATCATGATATGATGTGATGACGGCCGCCTGTGACCTTTCGGATCATAGGGCCCTTGAGTCTGGCTCATTCGAGCCCCCGACGGTTGCGCAATGGAAAAGTGAGCGCACCGCTTGCTTTTGATCGTGATGGAGTTCTTTGATCCCCGTTGGTTGAGTTGTGACAGTTGCCTTTACAAGTTGCTGTTGATCCTCCGCTCACCATTTTACATGGTAGCGGAGCTGCCAAGCTCCAGGATTGCTTTGTGAGGTCCCGGCCTGATCCCGGGTGCGGTGCAAACCGCAGAGCAGCTCGTGCCATCTAGGTACATTGCTTGTGCAGTGGTGCAAAGTTGAGTTGACGTTGATTGTTGAGCATTGACATTGATTGTTGGTTGTGGAACATTGTTGTTTGTTGTTGGCAGTTTGAGCCATGGACTACAAAGACACTCTCAAAGACCTCTACTTCGATGGGAAGCCAAGCGGATATCGTGAGTTCAGACGCAAGCTGATCCTTGGTGTTGCATCCCTTGAGGACAAGCAACAACACCTGGCCGGTCCTCGAGTCCTCGGAAGATTGTCTGGCGAAGCTTGGAAAGCGACCGAAAACATTCCAATTGCTGACCTTCGATGTGAACAAGGCTGGCTGCAAATTGTTCGGACGCTTGATCAGCACTATCGTTATTTGCCCGAGACCGAGCTCCACGAGGCCATAGATGAGTTCCTTTTTGGGTTGAAGCGGAAGGGACATGAGGGAGCCACTTCCTTCACATCCCGGTTCAAGACAAGTCTGCATCGCCTGGAAACGCTCATCTCACAGGAGCGACAGCTGTCGAAGAAGCAACCGAAGTCCGCAGTCGAAGAAGAAAAGAAAAAGGAAGATTCGAGTAGTTTGGAAGAGTCGGACGAACATGCCCTACCTCCAGACGATCCCAATGAACAAACAGATGAAACTGAACAAGAAGTTGAAGATGAAGTCCGGCCAGAAGCCAAGGCCAGAGCAGCACCTCCTCCAGGTCCTTTTGATCCTCCCCTTGATCCTCATCGTCGGACCGGATCCACTCCATCGGTCCGAAGTGCGAAGTCGAGCTCAAAGGCTTCACAGGGGAAGTCCACTGGGACTCAGAAAGGTGACCAGCGAAAAGATCATCTCCGTATGCAACGTCTTCTTGGAACGTTGGAGCAGTCGCATACAAAGCCAAAACCGATTTTTCCACAGTCAGTTTTGGGACACTGGTTCATGAGAAAGTTTGGTTTGTCGCGTGAGCAACGCAGCCACATCATTCGTTCAACAGGCGGCTCCAGTCGATTTGTTGACATTGAGAAGATTTTGCGCGCTAGTGACTATGAGGAGAGATTGGATGACCGGCGACCACGGCTGGACGATCGTCGACAGGTGAGACCACGACGCGAAGCCTATGCTGTTGAACAAGTTGCTGAAGCTTCATCCACCTCCGTCGATCCACTTTCTGACTCCGGGTCTGGTGAAGAGGCCTACCAAGTTGAGGGTGGCGAAACATCTCTGGGTTCAGGTTCTGAGGAAGAGCTGCAAGAGATCTATGAGATTCAGAAGAAAGCAAAGAAAGAATTCAAGAAACAGTTTCGCACCTACAAGGAGTCAAAGAAGAAGGTGAGGGAAATCAAAAGAGCACGACAACCATACATGCCGGTGGTGGCCATTCCACCCACCGAAGGCGGCCAGTCCCAGGCTCCACTGGAAACTCAGGCTGCATCGTCCAGAACACCACGCTATGAGAAAAGGTCCTTTGACAAGAAGTCACCACAAAAGGACCCAAAGAAGAAACCACCGAGGCGTGAGGACGCCAACCTGACAGAAGCTGTGGAGATTGTTGACAGGACATTGACCGAGTTCAACTATGCCCTGACCGAGTCCACCGCTGCTGAACTGGAAATTCTCCTGGCCTCAATTCCATCGGGTTTTGCAATCATTGATACTGGTTGTACAACATCCGTTGTTGGCGAGGAAACAGCACAGAGATATGAGCAGGTTTTCAGACAATGCAATTTTCCTCCACCCGTGCGTGTCACAATGCCTACAGTTGAGCTTCGTGGCTTCAATGGTCAGAGCGAAACAACAGCTGTTGGTTTGAAGTGGACAGTACAGCTGGGTTCGTTGAAAGGGAATAGCACGACATATGTTGTTCCTGGAAGCGCGCCATTCCTGCTGTCACGAGGGGTGTTGGAGGGTATGCAGGCCACACTGGACTTGGGCCGAATGACCATCACGAGTCCAAAACATGGTATGCAAGATGTACCCCTGAAACAGGCCGCAAATGGCCATCTGCTGTTGTCTCTGGTGCCACAGGTTGCTGAGTGGGAGACAGTCCTCAACGACTCGAATACAAATGAGCCCAATCCGCATGAAGCCCAAGCGATGGACCGCCAGTCCATCTCCGTTGATCTCGAGCACCACCAAGACCTCAGAGGACAGGACACGAACAAAAACAGTGTTTTAAGTGCACCAAAAATGGAGCCAACCCCGTGTGATACTCGGAGGGCGTTTCAAACTGTGTGTAAACATACCAAACGAGGAAACGTCGATTGCAGTGTTTTTCGTGCCGAGCTGTCCCAATTGTTTTCATGTCCCGAACACCCGGTGGTGCATGCCTATGTAGCATATAAACCTAGACTAGAAAGGATTCCTGCCGAAGCCGAACGAACTTCACTTGATATGAATGTAGTCTCTATGGATAAAGATGGAAACATGCTCATGTCAGGATGGATCGTTCGTCCAGCCGGACGGGTCAGAAGACCTGTCAACCCAATGCAGGTTGCGATCTTTGCATTTCGATCCGAGCAAGCACCCTCTGAACCTGAGAGTGCCGGCAGTGAGTCCGATCGTGTCGAACCAGCAGAGCCGACACCATCAGCGCACCAATGTGATTGTTGTTGTAATGATGACATAGAAGGGGATTGGGAATACACCATGCAATCAAACACCCTCGAAACTTTGTATGAAGAGGTTGACTGGGTAGATCTTGACTTGCAGGATGTTCCAAAAGAAACCCAAACGAAACTGAAAGACGCAATCACAGCTGCACGCCGTGTCGGTGTACGCATGGCTTTGTCGCGACTGCAGAGCAATCGGCAGGAAGTGCTTTCAGAACTTCGCCACTGGTTGGGCAACCAGGCTAGTAAACTTGACTCCAAGGTTGGACTCATAGAAGTTTTCACAGGAACAGCCAATTTGTCCAAACAGTTCGAAAAGAGAAACCAGAAAACAGCAATCCAAATTGGAATAGATCATGGACATGATCTTGGTAGGTTGAGGGATAGACGAAATCTCCTATACCTGGTAGCCTTGACAAAGCCTGATCACATTTGGTTTGCTCCCCCATGTAAGTGCTGGGGTCCCTGGTCGAGGTTCAATATGGCATTTTCCGAGTCTAGGAAACAAGAAGTATTGAAAAAGAGACATCAAGCTAGAAGACATCTGCAATGTGTTTCGGAAACATGGCATCTCCAAACCATCCTTGGAGGTCATGTACATGCTGAGAATCCGCACTCGTCCGATATGTGGCAGGAGTTAGTGCTTGGACCAGCCTGGTCAATCCGAATTGACCAATGTGCACTCGGGCTCCGTAGCCCCAAATCCAACATCCCTGTCTTGAAGCCAACTCGGATTGTCAGCACTCAGGAGTCTTTGATGCAGCACCTTGTCCCATTTCGGTGCGATCATAAGCATGGTCATGATCATCTAGAAGGAAACTACAAAGGTAGAAATCTGACGTCCTGGGCCGAGACATATCCTAATAAGTTTGCACGTGTCATGGCCGATGGTCTTGCCAAAAGTCTCCATGGACATTCTGGTCCAGATGCAGTAGAGATCTTAGCTCAAGATGAAGAAGAAGATCAACTAGAAGAAGAGACAGAAGATCGATCAGAGAGACTGCCAGACCATGACGAGCCAAATTCGAACAGCCGAAGTTTGAATCCCAAGCAGCTGCGAGTGTCCGCATTGGTTCGTAAATTGCATGTGAACACAGGTCATGCATCGACAGAACAAATGTTGAGGCTCGCGAACCGTTGCCAAGCCAGTCAAGAAATTGTGGACTGCATTCGGAACTTCCAGTGTCCCATTTGTAATGAACTCAAGCCTCCACCGTCATATCGTAAGAGTGCAATCCCCCATGCAGAGAACCCGAATGACATAGTGGGTATTGATTTTGTTCAAGTAGAACTCAAGAGAGAGGGACGTAATGGGAAAATGACCGAAGTCAAGTTCAACGTGTTGACATGTGTTGATATGGCCACAGGTTTCGCACAACAGATCATCGTTGAACGCGGTCCCAATCAGCTGTCAGTAGCTTTCCATAAGGTGTGGACACGTCCCTACGGCACTCCTAAGATAATATTCATGGACCCTGCCAAGACTAACCTCTCCCAGGACTTCCAAGAGTACCTAACACACCATGGCATTCAATTGTTGC